ATAACTTTAAATTTTTTGACTAAGCTATTCAATTTTCAAACGTACATGGATTAAAATAAATCAGAAAGGCTGATGAATTTAATGTCTTTTATGTTTTCTAAAACTACTGTTACGGTAATAGAAAAACGTCAAATAATCGAGCGAGGGTTTAAATTTTGTTTATTTAAAAAACATTTTATTCAGTTTATTAACCTAAAAAGGTTATTCATATTTTCATTTATTTTTTTAATCTTGATTTTGATATTCATCTGGAAACAAATTGCTGCAATGTGGTTTTCAATTCTGATAAAGCTGACTGTGATGGCGGTAATTGAGTAGCTGAGCAACCAGCTTGTCCCTACCATTCATTGTATTTTGAACCATTCCTATTTAGAGGAGGGGAAAACAAATTTTATTTTTAATAGATATTGTATCTATAATTTAGGAGAAAATGAAGGTATCAATCGAAAAAATTTTAATCATTTATTTTACAGATTGATGACATTTATTTTGAAGTACTATCTACGCTCTTGAATGATAAAGCATGGAATTAAAAATATCAAATCAATATAATTTATTTAAAAAAAATTAGGTAAACAATTCATAATTATGACATAAAATCTCAATTATTGCTTGGATGATTATATTGGATAGACTGCCAACTACAGGCATGTTGGCTCGAATGGGAATTGATACGGATGAGATGTGTTGTTTGTCTGGAGAGATAAGGGACCATCTTTTCTCGGAGTGTTCCTTCTCGAGGGTGTGGTGTTTTGCTGATTTGTAAGCTGAACTTGGTTAGCTTGGTTGGACCGAAATGGTTAGGCGGGCGGTGAAAAATTTAAAAGGTGAAGCTCTTATTGTTCGTATCCTTAAATTTGCTTGGTTGTTCGTTCAATTGATGATTTGATTGGTTGTATCGAGGAATGTGTGTATTCAGTTGCATAATTGCTGTATAGAGAGGTCGGATCGGGTTAATGTACAGTTATGTGTTGAGTGGGGGATCCATTGATATCCCCCTTTAACAATTATATTGTTGCAGCTTTGGATTAATACTATAAACGAAATTAACAATTGATCATTATTTATAAATAAATTTTAATTTTTTTATAGAAATTGTTAGTCTTATTAAAAAAGTGGAAATATTTAAAATTACAATAAGAGTTTACAGTTATCATCGTAAATTAAATACATAATTTGGACATTTTACTATAACATTAACACAAGAAACTAGTCAATTTATATCATATAAAGACAATACATGGAAAAAGTTAAAAACTCAATTAAAAGACTCAAACCAAAAATATATATGAAAAAAGCTGACTACATCGATAAACGAACTATAAAAGAATATTAAACTATTGAAAGACTACCTATATTGCAAGAACTACAAATTAGAGTCGAGTGTCGTGATAAACTATCAATGAATATAAAATCGCGTATTCAAATTTAAATTTAGAGTCTAGAATAAGAAGAATACGAAAAACGTGTCATAAATACCAAAAAAAAATGTACTACAAAAATATAACTATTCTGATTAAAAGAAAAAACTTACTATCAATATCAAATCAATATTATCGATAGCTAAACAAAATTAAAGAAGGAAAATAGATTTAATCTAAACAAAGCAATACAAACCCTAAAAAGGAAAAGGAGAGAGCCGCGTTATTTTAAAAAAAATATTTTTTAAGAATGATATTCGATGAACGTAGATATAAAAAAATTCCTTCAACTTGTGGTGCGAGATTTGGAACACGAATCATATATTCAAATCAATTATCAGATTATGTAAAATAAAAATAGTTAAAATAAATGTCTATAATTATATTTTTAACATATTTTTCTAAAAATTAATGATATTTTTTTAATTTTTTAAAAAATGATGTAATGTTTACAGCAGATCAATTTGAATTTCATTCATAAATAAATAAATATCAAATATTTCAATATATTTAATTTCATATATTTTTATATATTATATTAATATCATATAATAATATCAATATAACTAAACTAAACTCAATTTATAATTATAGTTTGAGTTAATTGCATCATATGTCATCAAAGTATGGCCTTCATTTTGAATTGGTCCTTAAAGTTTTAAATGTTTCAATTTTATTCCTAAATTATGACTATCATTCTAAATTAGTCCTTAAACTTTTGAGCATTTCAATTTCATCACCAAATTATGACCTTCATTCAAAATTGGTTCCCTAAAATTTTTTGAATAGTCCAATTTTATCAAAAACTATATGTATATACTGATCACATCTCTTGTTAATAAAATCGATAGGCCAAGTCATATTATTATATATTTGAAAAAAAAAACAAAATTTAACTTAAACTATGGTTGAAACTAATTATATATTTGGATGAATTTATTTTTATAACTTTCGTGGCACGAGGAACACCATTGTCAACAAATCACAGCCCTTCATCTTCATAATCACCCACGAGGCTTGGGGGCAAAGGCATCTCATCCATCTATAAATACCGTATCATTCCTTCTATACATGTCACACAATTTGAAAGTGTAAAACCTCAATCAAATGCCTAAGCCTTCGGATCGTAATCTTTATATGTTTCCTTGGTTCATAATATTAATCACAAATGGAAGGTTCAAGCATTGTTGATGTTTTCGATTTCGATAAAACGATTATCGATTGTGATAGCGATAACTGGGTGGTGGATGAGTTGGGTGCCACCGAGTTGTTCGAACAACTTCTTCCTACCATGCCATGGAACTCTCTCATGGTTAGTCTTTCGTTTCTTGTCTTTCACGTTGCATGTTCTTGGCTTCTAAATACTTTTCTATTGTTTTTCTTTATTTCCAATCAACCGACGGGATTTGTTGTTAATCGTTGACAAATTATCATAGGATCGAATGATGAAAGAACTTCATTAGCAAGGAGCAAGAATTGAGGATATTGAAGCTGTTTTGAAAATAACCCCGATACACCCTCGAATCATCAAAGCCATTAAAACAGCTCATGCTTTAGGGTATTGATGCACTCTTCTCTCTTCGTTTTTATTTCAACTTGCTTCAGTATGTTTGATTTTCTCGCTAGGATAGAAAAATTACTAAGAGTTTTGTTGTTTTTAGATGTAATTTTAAGATTATGAGCGACGCAAACACGTTCTTCATCGAGAAGTTTTTGGAGTATCACGGCTTGAAAGAATGTTTCTCAGAGATCCATACGAATTCTAGTTTTGTAGATGAAGAAGGCAGACTAAAGATATTCCCTCACCAAGATTTCACCAAATCTTCTCATGGATGTGTTCATCCTAGCTGCCCACCAAATATTTGCAAGGTATATACAATAATTTGAAAAATCAAAGTAAATAACAATGACACCGTATGTTGCATGAATATATATGATATGACATATGAAACAAAAGAAAATCTACAAACACTTCAAAGCTGCACTCTAAATATGTTGCATATAAATTCCAAAGTATGATTAGCTGCAACTTATTTTATGTTATCATCTTATCTTCTTTGTCATGTGATTGATTAAATATATGTGGTTAATTTTTTTTCTGAAATATAGGGTAATGTGATTGAAAAGATACAAGCTTCTCTATCCATGGAGGACCAGAACAAAACAATAATCTATCTTGGTGACGGACTTGGTGATTTCTGCCCAAGTTTGAAGCTTGGTGATGGAGACTATGTAATGCCAAGGAAGGATTTCCCAGTTTGGGACTTGATTTGCAAAAAACAGGAGTCTAATAAAGCCACAAATATGGGAATGGAGCAATGGGGAGGACTTTGAACACGTGTTGCTCCACCTTATTACCAGGATTTCCATTGACAAAAACTACACTAGTGCCGACATTGCTCAGCTCCATTCAGTTGACTGCAAGATAGAAACGATGAAGTTACCGGCCGCGGCTAACGCTGAAGCCTTCACCCGAGCCCTTCCTGTTTACCACTAGGAGGGAAATTAGTTGAAGTCGAAATGGCAGATGAAGATGATGTGTTTTTGTCTAGTAGAATGACTATTGCAGTTGCAGAAACTAAACTCTACTTTTGATCGCGTCAAATAATAGTATGGGAGTGTATTTTATTTATTTATTGAAATAAACATTCTAGTGATTCTTTTAAGTTAAAATAGTTCGAAAACCAAAACCAAAATACGAAGCCTGGAATTATAGCAACGATGTGATGGCAAGCATATAGATTCCCAGCAGCAATTTAACAGACTGTAAAGCTAGGCTCACTTTCATACCCATTTTGATAAAACTGGTAAATAAGAGAATACCCTCAGTACATACAGGGGGTGGGGGTGGGGGTGGGGGAGGGAGAAAAATCAAATAGGTATGTAAACCCAGCATGCATATTCAATTTCTCTCAGCATAAAACATCAAATATGGAATGATTTTAAAAATAATAATTAAGTAATTAAAATAAAAGTTAAGTAATAAGTAAATGATCAAAGTAGTTCACCCTAATTCCTAATATATATATATATCCTTACAAGAAGACAATGTGAAATAAAATATCCTTACAAGAAGACAACGTGAATTAAAATAGTAGGTTTTGGTTCTAGAGACATGATTCGTGGCACGCATCACAAACACGGTTCACTGTAAGCATTAAGGGAGCTTGGATCAAGGGAAAATTTATTTTCTGGAGAATAAATTTTTTTCAGAATCACATATTTATATTTAATTTAAGAATATTTTTTAGTAGTTATTTTAATTTGAATTTTCGAGAATTTCATTCCTTTTAATATTTTAAGTATTTTTCAATTTTTTTCGGGTTAGATAAAATTACCCCTAAACAAATGTATTATTTAAAAACTATCGTCTCCTTTATTCCTTCAAATCGTATGATAATCTCTAATTTTAAAGTAAGTCAAAGCCATAAATAATAGTGGAGAAAATGGGTTTCCTCTGGGTGCACTTTAGCAGGTCTAATGGCTCTCGAGATTCCTGCTGATCTCCGTCAGCCCTCTTCCGTTCGCCTTCTCCTTACTCTGTTTTCTTGTTTCTCTCTCGGCTGAACTATTTTCTGGATGGATTGGAGGAAACTATTCAAGAGTTCAGAATCTCACGACCTTGAATATTTCCCCCCAAATGTTCGTGATGGATCCCCGATAGTGCTTCCCCCTCCAGAGATACTTGATGCTGGAATCTCTGAGTGGAAACTATCACTCGTGGGTCAGTTCATTGGAGTCACGCCAAGCTTTGCCTCAGTTCAGAGAATCGTCGATAATCTTTGGAGTAAAGCTTTGCTGGGTTCACGTGTTCAGGTCAGTTCCGCAGGTTCCAATCTCTTTATCTTCTCTTTTGAAAATGAATCTGCTAGAGATTGGGTTGTTGATAATGGTCCTTGGCATGTTCATAATAAGACCCTAATTCTTAAGAATTGGGAACCGAATTCGCAAAGCCTTTGTTTTGATTTAACTAAGATTCCTATCTGGGTTCATCTATACAATATTCCATTAGAGCTTTTCTCCAGAGTAGGACTTAGCTACATCTCTAGTGCAATCGGTAATCCTCTGTCGATGGACTCTATCACTGCTTCTAAAACTAGGCTTGAGTTTGCAAAAGTATGTGTGGAAATAGGTGTTAATGATGTCATTCCAAAATTCATAGAAGTCGTCCTCAGAGATGGACATCAAACTTCAATAACTGTTGAGGTTCCTTGGCATCCTCTTTCTTGTAAGAAATGCCGAGTATTTGGGCATAATGATAAGTCTTGTCAGCAAAGAACCACTCTAAAAGTCAATTCTAGTCCTGCTCAAGTCTGGAAAATGAAGGAAACTACTCCAAGTGCCAGTCAAGTAGGAGGTATTGAAGTTCTGCAAGAACCAGTCTGTAATGTCTCAGAAGGTATTGAGGTCGGTAATTTACAGGAGGAGAAGGGAGGTGCTATCTCGAATCAAGATAATTCCAAAGGAGGAGTTGCTATAACCACTAGTGATCTTCCTAAGGATGCTGATATCTCTATTCTCCAGGAGCAGTCTGAAACTCTTGTTAATGATAAGCTCGACCATGTTGTCTCTGCTATTACAGAGTCACAGCATCATCAGGAACTGGATACTGCTGTTGCAGACCTTATTAATGCTACTATTCCTTCCACCAGCTCAGTTCCTCAGTCTAAAAAGGGAAGAGGTAAACATTTGAAGGATACTGGCCAGGGCTCTCTATCAGGATCAAAAAACAAATTTGAAGTGCTCAACTCCGTTGATGAACTTCCTAATTTAGAGAATCAACCTCGAAAGCCTAGAGCAGCATCATTAGGAGTTGCTTGTTTAGTCAAGGAGCTAAAATCAAAAAAGAAAAATCAAATTGACAAATTTAAAAGTATGTCTGTAGAAAGCCAAGGGGGGTCCTCTGGATCGCCAAACTTATGATAATCAGTTTCTGGAATGTTAGAGGACTCAATAGCCCTCTAAAACAAAATAAAGTGGTTCATAGAGCCATGCTGAACAAGGTGGATGTCCTTTGTCTGCTGGAAACCAGAATCAAAGTGGATAAATCTGAAACAATTTTTGTTCTAAATTTTCTAATTGGAATTTTTGTTCTAATTATGATTATGCCATCAATGGAAGAATATGGATGCTTTGGCGGAAGGGAATAGACATGTCCATCATTCAAGTTGCTGATCAGTGTATTACTGCCAAAGGGAACTTTCAAGGTAAACCGGTATTCATTTCTGCCATCTACGGTAGTAATGATGGAGTTCACCGTAGGCAGCTTTGGCAAAAGATAAAGGATGCTGAGTCTATTGTTGATCAACCTTTATCGGGTTGATTTTTGGGTTATTGCAAGTGAATTGCCCGTGGGATTTATTTCCAGTCAGGTAGCAAAGCAACTGGGGAATTTTATTGGGACTTTTGTTGATTACGATGACTCGATCAAGTCCCTGGGATAGAGAGGGAGCCTTAGAATTCGTGTGGGTTTGGATGTTCGAAGGCCCTTGAAAAGGAAACATAGACTAGCTTTTCAATATGAAAAGCTTAGATTATTTTTTTACTCTGTGGTAAGTTAGGTCATGGTGAAGGTTTCTACCCATTATTATCCAGGAGAAACGAGAATGTGTGCATTAGTGGGATGTCTTTTTGCGAGCGCCTCCATGACAAATGGGGATGGCTACAAGCCCTTGGTTACGGGATGATGATGTGGGTTATGGTTCTACCCAATCTTCGGAAATAATAATGGCAGTAAGTAATCTGGCAATAATTCTAAGAGCCGATCTTTTGAAGGCATGGGTTACACAATCTGATTAATCGAAGGGAGGGGTTGATGTTACGATGACAATGATTGAAAAGGAAAATCTGATGGAAAAAAATGAAAGTGCAAAAAGACAAATGAGTGTTGGTTTGGAACATAATTCAAATTTATCGACAGGCTTGTTGCCCCAGACCAACAGACAACAATGAAACTGTTAAGCTCGAATGTCCGAGTGTTGAGGATGCCTAGGACGGTTCGACATCTCCGGCATTTGCTGCGAGATGCTTAACCCTGCTATAGTTTTCTTTATAGCGATAAAACTACAAAGTTCATGTATGAGAAGTAAGTCTTCTGTTATATACATGGCATTGAAGTGGAACCGCAAGGTACTTGGGTGGTTATGTTTAGCATGAAGGTCAATCTGTGATGTCTCTTACGGTATTTTCAAGTTTCATATTGATGTGATGATGACAATGATTCTGATGGATTACTTGGAGATGCAGGGGTCTTTATGGTGCGCATGAAGAGAATCGTCGTGTAGAATCCTAGACCTTTTGCGAAGACTAAATGATACTCAGGATTTAACGTGGCTAGTGATTAGTGATTCATGAGATCTTGTTTTCCTTTGAAAAGTGGGTGGCTTAATAGTAATGAGAGACAAATAACGGCCTTTAAAGAGGTAATAGATGATTGTAAACTGTTGATGTTGGTTTACTGGAACTTGGTACCATGGGAGGGGGGACGTGTGAAATAATATTCGAGAGCACCTTGATAGAGGCCTGGCAAACGATCATAGAAGCAACTGTTTCTGGACTATTCACTCAACATTGACTCGTACTTTTCAGATCATGTCCGAGACACCTCAATACTATTTCGCTCCCAAATAGCCACAAGAGGTGGCATTTTCGTTTGAGGCTTCATGGCTTTGGAAGATTCATGTGAAGAAGAAGTCACGAGGCTTTGGTCTGAGGCAGAAGGCTAGTTACGACAAAGTTGCACATATTAGTAATGGTCTGGATGCTTGGTTCAAGCATATTGCCGCACTAAACGGATAACGACTATGGATTTACAAAAGAAATTAGCAAATTAGTGGAGCAACAACCAACAGATGAGGTCTTAGGTGAGATAGTCGATGCAAAATGTGGCTGATCTAGAAGCAGATAAGGAAGAGCTATATTAGGAACAGAGATCTATGCAAATTGGTGAAGAACGGAGAACAATACGACTTTTTCATTCGGTTGTGATGTAACGAAAACGACAAAATAAAATTCTCTCTTTCGAATCGGATGAAAGAGACCGAATTGACATGATTTGGAATGTATATATGGCGCAAGATTATTTTCAGACTCTTTTTAACACGAATGCAAAACCGATTGATGATCAGCTTCTAGAGGGTATTGAGACGACTATTTCTGTAGAGTCAAATCATTCCCTATTTCAGCCTTATGAAGATGTGACTCAAGTTGTGAACACGATGAGCACGCTGAAAGCTGTGGGGGAGGATGGTCAGGTGCCCTCTTCTATCACCGTTTCTGACATTTGATAGGGCACGAAGTGGAAGAATTTTGCATTGCGCTTATCCAAGGGCATCATAATATGCAATTGGTTAATCACACGCATATCGTTGCTATACCAAAAGTGGAAAATTTGAGCAAGTTGCCTCAGTTTCGACCAATTGGTCTATGCAATGTGCTTTTTAAGATTATGTCGAAAATTCTTGTTCTTTGAATGCAAGCACAAAGAGCTTTTGTTTTGGGTAGATTAATTTCGAACAATATTATCGTTGCTTATGAGTTGTTACACATTTTTTTGAGGAAACGAGAAGGTAGAAATGGATATTTCACCTTGAAACTTGACATGAGTAAGGCTTATGATAGAGTTAAGTGGAGTTTTGTCTGGGCTATAATGAGTAAGATGGGGTTTTCATTAGTTTGGATCAAAAATTTGAAACGATGTGTTTGCTTTGTATGTTATTCAGTTGTTTTGAATGGGGCAGACGAGAATCGGTTCGTTTCGCAAAGAGGTCTGCGACAGGGTGATCCTCTTGGCCCATATTTATTTTTTATATGCATTGAAGGTCTCTCTTCACTAATTTTCCGTGTAGTCTCATCAGGAACCTTTCAAGGAGTAAGGATCAATTGATATGCCCCACTATTTCCCATCTCTTCTTTCGGTGAAGCAACTACGGGTGTGGCGTTTCAAATTAAGAATCCGCTTAGAATTTATGGAGAATGCTCAGGCCAGGTAATAAATTTTAAAATGTCAAAAATTTTCTTTAGCAACAACGTTATTGATGAAAATAGAAGTGACGTTCGACATATACTAGAAGTGTCTAATACTTCTAATCCGGAGAAGTATCTAGGACTCCCAGCAATAGTTGGTCAGAATAAACGAGGTGACTTGTCTCAGGGTGGAAAGGAAGTGTTCATTAAAACAGTGCTTCAAGCATTACTTTTGCATGTCATGAATCATTTCTTACTACTAAAGAGTTTGTGTGTGGAGAAGGAAAGCATCATGGCTCGGTTATGGTGGCAAAAATCTGCACGTAAGAGAAGCATTCACTGGTGCTTTTAGAAAGCCCTCAGTCAACAGAAAGAAAGTGGAGGTTTAGGGTTCTGAGATACGTCGAAATTTAATATCGCTCTTTTGGCTAAACAAGGTTAGAGGCTGCTAACCATTTTATTTTTAAAAAATCTAAATTTATTATTTTCTTAAAATATATTATTATAATTTAAAATTCAGATTTAATTATATTAAAAATCTGGATCTGAATATTAATTATTTCTTATACAATATTTAAAATATACAATATCTTCGGATTCTTCGATCGGCTTAAATATACCTACCAATCCCGACGCGAAACGGCAGACTTGCGGCGTTTAGTATCTTCCTCGATTCAACGTGCTCTGGTGACATCTATTTATTTAGTATTAAAAAATGATAATAAAAGCCTTCGCACATGGAAGCTACTTCGCAACTAGAGTTGTAAATGAGATGAGATAGATCGTGAGTTACTCGAGATTCGGTTAAGGCTCAATAAATACTCGGATTGAATGGACTCGAGCTCGACTCGAATTTTTAACGAGCCGAAACGAGCTACTTGATACTCGACTCGAAAACTCTTGACCAACTCGAAAAATAATATTAAGATTTTATTTTTTAAAAAATTATTAAATATTAACATTTATGTGTTGATTTTTTTTTTTAAAATATAGGAAGACTCTTATGTATTTAAGGTTCAGGTTCGAGTTGAGTTTGAGGCTTCAATCTAGTTAAGTTAAGATTTTTTCATTTCGAGCCTTTCGAACTGCTCACGAGCTTCAGTTAAGGATTTCGAGTTCGAGTCGAGCTTAAACTTTAAGCTCGCGAGTTTTCGAGTCGATTCGAGCTTCATTTCAGGTTTTCGAGTCGAGCGAGCTCAGCAATACTCGAGCTCGACTCAGCTCGTTACACCCCTATTCGCAATGACGACACCACGCGTCTAAATCGGAAAGTTCTACAGTGCGGTACCTTTAATATACAGTTAAAAAACTATTATTGATTTTGTTATTATTTAAATAATAAAATCGGTAAAAAAAATTACTTAAAATATTATTATTTCTACCTAAAACATCAACATTTTTTAATATTTCCTGTAAAGTGCCCAACAATAATAAAAATCGATAGAAAAAATAACAAAATCGATAAAAATAATAATATTTTCAGTAATTTTTTATCGATTTTGTTATTTAAATAATAACAAATCGATAACACATTTTTTTAGTCGTATATTAAGGTTGTCGCACGTGATCATTTTCCGTCTAAACCTCGTAACCAAATAAAATAAAAAATATATATTTTCTGGTATTACAAATTATATAAAATTATAATATGCATCCTTATAAATAATAATATTATTATATAATACATATGAAATTAAAAAGATTATGTTAATTAAGTTTAAAATAATAATTAATTTTCTCCAGGTTTCTATAAATACCAAACCCTTAATCTGTACTTACTTTTATTATTTTTTTATTTGTGCGATCCCGTCTTACCATCATGGCTACGCTCGATTCCTTCTTTAACAAAGGCTTCAAAGCTGCTAATGGTATCCCTCCCTCAGTTTCATCCTTACTATGCTCATATTCATGTTTACATTTTTTGTTCAATTCATCGGATTTTCTGCTTCTTGTTCCCTGTTACTTAATCTTGTTTGATGAATCATGTTTTTTTACTTTTCGTAATTATTACTTGGATCAATTTTGAAGATTATCTTAATTGTTTCAAGTTTGATCTGTTTTTTTTTTTTTTTTTTGGGTGGAATATGCAGCAAAACTTTACTCAAGTTAACAATTCCGCGGATAAAGTTATTAAGGAACAGGAGAGAGATTCAGATAAAGCAGATGCGCCGCGAAATTGCTAAGCTTCTTGAGACTGGCCAAGAGCTACTGCTCGAATTCGAGTATGTTATTCGTCTTCTTTAGCCAGATTTTTTAAAAATATATATATTTATTTTAAATTTACAATTACTGAAGTGCAAATATAGTATTTGATAACCTGAATATGCTGTTTTATTAATTTAGTTAAGTGATTTAGGTTGTTGATACATTCTAAATTCGCTGTTTTTAGAAGGTATTGTAATTCTTTTGAGTTCTTACTTGAAAATGAGTAGATAGTTCCTTATGAAGCAATGCTTGGCGTTATATCTCAGGTGGAGCATATAAAAGGGAAAGAAAACATGATGCTGCTCAGGAGATCCTTGAGCTGTTTGCGAGCTTATTGTCGTCCGGCTTCCGGTCATAGAGACTCAAAGGTTATTGCTTGAACTTTTGGAGTTTATTTTATATTTTATTTCTTAATATATTGAATTTGATCAATGCTTGGGTCTGAACCAGACTGGTAGGATGAATTTTGCAATGTAGGGGATATCAGCTTTAGGTGAAGGATGGGGCCAAATATTTGTACAAAGCTTTGGTGGTTGAGTGGAAAAGTAGTTTGACCAAATTCTTCGATTGAAGATTAAGCTTTAGGTTGAAGGATGGGCCAAATATTTGTACAAAGGCTTTGGTGGTTGAATGGAAAAGTAATTTGATCAAATTCTTCAGATTGAAGATTATATCTACAAAGGAAAAGTAACTGAAAGCCTGGGGTACTTTGACTAGAACAAACATATCGTTTATTTGAATGTTTGATATGGTTTCATTATTTAGGAGTTGGTGAACTGCCCTAATACTGTCTTTAAGATGGTTTCATTGAATGTTTAATAATTCTCCGTAATAGTATAATTCTCATTATACCTTTCTCCTATGCTTTGCCATGCTAATATTAGAATCTGAAGTTCATACTTCATAGCATACATGAAGCATTAGCACGTTTTTGGATGTAGATCAATCTTTTCTGTGTTATAAGCAAGCACATATCACCTAAATATTGTAAAAGATACACATGATGTTCTTCACTAGATGCACTTTCCTTCCCCTCAATGCAATTCTGTCAATTTCTCCACACTTATTGCTATGACTTTGTCGCCTTGATTAATGGCATTGTCCACGGTGCTGTTTTTTTTGTTTAATTTGGACTATATCCTCACAGAAGCAGTTGATAAGTATTTTTTTAAGTTGCTTAAATAAATAAGTTAAAAAAAACTGCATTTTGGTAGAATAAAACTTTGAAGAATCATCCCTTTTCAGGGAATGTCCTCTAGATTTGAAGGAAGCGATAAGTAGCGTGTGTTTTGCTGCGCCAAAATGTGCCGATCTACCAGAGTTGCTGCAGGTTCAAATTCTATTTACTGCCAAGTACGGGAAGGAATTTGTATTAGCTGCAACTGAGCTGAGGCCAGATTGTGGTGTTAATCGTCAGGTATTAGAAGTTTGAAGGCCCATTGTGTATTTTGATTCTTCTAGTTGACATCCTCTTAAATGCAGTTGATAGAATTGTTATCTATACGCGCTCCTTCTCCTGAAATAAAATTGAAGATTCTAAAAGAAATTGCAGAAGAGCATGAGTTGGAATGGGATCCTGCTTCTACTGAGTCCGAGTTTTTCAAACCACGTGAAGATTTATTGGTAAGTAATTTTGGAGTGCGTTTTCTTGTTCTCTGTTCCCATATTGTTAAGATATCTATTTTGTTTGTCAGAATGGTCCAACACAGTTTGTAACCGAGTCAAAGTTACCCCTTCCGGCAGAGAAACATGATGAAACATTGACTTCTGCCGCTGATCATGCAGAAACCGAGCAGCCTGATTCTGATTCAGACTTTGACCTGGTAGATTTTCCTGATGTTCCTAATGTGTCATTGCCGTCAAGCACTAATGCTGCATCAGCACCAGTAACTAACCCACCTTCATCAGCTGCTCCAGAACTTGAAATTAATAACTCACCTAAACATTCTAGAGCTTCTGGTCATGTGTTACAAATGCTCCCTTTGGAGCCCGATATATTGATGCAAGAAAATACAATAGCTAAAGAAAGTGAAATGTCCGATGACCCCAGCCACAGCCAAAGAAAATAAACAGTTTCTGCCTTTCATTTCTCCTCCATCGATATCTGCAAGACCAAGCGATCCAACATCGGCTATTTCAAAACCGAAAAGTGAGACCAACTTTGATCTAGAGGATATTTTAGCTGCTGCTCAGTCAGCTGCTGAAAGTGCTGAGCATGCAGCAGCTGCAGCTCGCTCAGCAGCAAATCTTGCCCAAGTCAGAATTGCCGAACTTAAGCAGAAAAGGAATGGCCAGGACGGTGAAGATAGCTCTGAGAACCACCTTCATACGAATATTCCTCATCAACCAGCTAGTAAGGAAAACCCAAATTTTGATCATCTAAACTGGTCTAGCTATCCTGGTGATGTTTATAATTATCCAGACTCTGATGTAGGACGTCAGGATGAGGAGCACAAAGGATCAGAAGCAGCAGATCTTCCTTCCTTGAGCAAATTGAAAGTAGGTTTGGATTCACCGGTTTACAGAGACGATGCTATCGAACAAGATCAACATCAAAAGCACCGCAGAGATTGCCTTCAATGAATGATGAATACTTGTATCCAAACATATAAATCTAGGGCCAGTCCATTAGCGAACTAGGGTCGGTTGATAAGTTTCTTCTACAGGAGTAGTAGAGCAAATGGGAGCAGTAGTGGCGGAAATAGAAGCGTTTTCAGATAACGCTGCACGTTAAACCTATAGCGGCGTTTAAAAGGTTAAACGTCACAAAGAAAGACATAGAGCTTCGTGTCAACTTCCCAAATCATTTTTATTCTTCCATGTTAACTAGTTTGATCCCTTCCCACGTCTCCACAGCACCATCACACACTTGACAATCAGAAGGGAAAAAAAAACAATCCCTGCAGGAATCCTATAACTGGCAATTTGATTGCAGAACAGTTTTGGCATTTGGCTTTGAATTTGTAGTGGAATCACAGCAGCAGTACCATAATTCTTTAAAAGTATATATTATAAATTCTCAAAGAACAGTCAAGGTTTATTAGACAGTTTGGCAACAAGAATTTCCTCTTTTTTCGATCAAAAGGAATGGTTGGTTCATATTTCATACCTGCAAAAATCAAAATTGGACTTGTATGTATCTGTCATGTACGTTTTGACAAAGCCATTAAACAATATCAATAGGAACCTGCATTCACCATAGTCTTTGTCAAAACAACCCAAACCTTGCTTATTTTTGTTTCAAGAGTGAACGAGAATTGATCCGATGATGAACTAATATCTTCATTCACTTCCTTTTTCACTTTCTTTATCCACAGGTGTCGAGGTGCCAATCGGACACGCTACAGACGAGCACTGTTCCAATGCCGAAACATGATCCATGGTGATTATCTGCACACGGGGATTCTCGAGATTCTTGTTTTCCATTACCCTTTTGCATGTTTCGAACAGATCGTGAAGCTCTTTGCTTTGTTGAGAAGCTCTCGAGTAGTCGCAGGCCACAGTTCTGGCCGGTCTCGTCAAATCGAAGAACATGTTGATGAGAATGTCGATGCCTTCGGAGTACATAATGTGCACTTGGAAGCTCTCTTTCAAGGTGTTCCCCATGGCTGCTTGAGCCAAGTTGTTGGCAGGCATGATATCAATAGGCGAACAATCCAAGACACTGTCGATAAACGCTTGCCATTTCGGCAACTTGCGGAAAGCCACTTCAAGCCATTGAACATAACCGTTTCGAGTTTCCCAGCTTGGTTAATGGCCCATCCCACTCGTTCTTCCAGATAAGCCGCGTAGCTACGTAGGAACAAGAATGAAGAATTGCATAAACAGTTGGTGGCGCTTATTTGAAGATGACCAGACACGTGATCGCTATGTAGCCCTCGTTCGAAGCCACGGTTGCCTCTGCATAGGAGGCAATGGATGAGGAAGAGTATTTCGTACATGTATTTGTCTTCTATGGAACGTTATCATGGGTGGTCGCTCGGAGCACTGCACTCTCTATAACGGAAAAGGCTTTGCCATCATGGTTGTATATCATAGCCTTACCAATGGATGCATGATCCTTCATTGATCCAAGAGCTAGACGGAGCTTGCTCTGAATGTCTACCCCCCATGTTTTTTCTCCTTATTAGTATGTTTGTAGGTGATTGAGCTTGACGAGAAGCAAGTTATATAGATAGAAAGAAGCATAATTATTTGAAAACTAATCTGCAATAAGGGAATAGATTCTGTATTTTAAAATACTGGAGGCCATACAACAAGTTAATATATGTAAAGAAAACAGTGGACCAAAGAAGACTAGGATAGTACAAGAATTATACAACAAATTAAAAAAAATTACTAAGAAAAATAATATTTCTTTTAATAATTGAGGCACTCAATAAGTTCTTGAAATTCAACTTTCTGCATCAAACTTTTTCCCAATCGTAGCACCGTGTATAATAAGCAGTTTTGACTTTGCCAAATGTGGCTGCCTTTTACACGTCGATCATCTTTCTTTATGACTAAAGGATTCGATTTGCCACCAATCTCCAAATATGTATCTTCCGGGTCACTATTATCTACTTGCTCACTTTCAAAAACATACAAGAAATATCAAGAAAATAGATAGATTAATTAATTATATAAATAAGCTCGACAACAGCAATGTGTTTTAGTGATGATGTAATTCATCTGTGTTTTCATCCAGTAGGTTAAAATTATTTTTAATGAATCATTTTGTTCTCTGTTGATGATCCGGATTCAAACAACGTATCTACACGTGTGCGTAAGTTTAATCTAGATTTCTTCAGGAAAAATTACAATTCGATAATTTATGTCAACATTCCATTCAAAATTTCGTGTCTAATATACGCCTCTATATTTCTTATCCATATCTAACTTAACACAAATTATGAATTGATTGATTGTATCAATCGTATTTAGATTATAGTTTAAAGTTTAAATTAATCATCAGACTTTAAAACGAATTATTTAAATTCTTAAACTATTAATATTATTTTAATATTTAAGTCTTTCTATGAGTCTTGTCTTCAACTTAATCATAAAAAATCGTTTAAATTTTATGTGGAGCTTATTTAAAATACGTAAATTGGATTTTAAATATTGTACTCTTATTACTATTTAGATCTGATATGTTAAAACAACCTTATTGATAGGTCAAATTGGCCCATTACGGCATCCGGGTAAAAAATTTAGTTCATTAGGGCAGCTAAACATTTAATTTGGGATATATGACAAATTGAACAATTTCCATGGAACTCGTCAAGCCGGCGTGACGAGTTCTATGAGATATAATTTTTTTAATGGGTCGTATTAGATGGGCCCTACAGCATGATTAAAAAAATTCTTGAGGTCCCAATAAAAAAATAATTTTTTTATTTTGTAATTTTTTAAAAAATTTAAAAAAACAATATTTTATTACCATGGAACTCGTCATGTCGGCGTAACAAGTTCCAACGGATATAATTTTCAAAATTTTGACTGTTGGTAATCGACTGAATTTTTTTTAATATTTCAATGGAACTCGTCACGCCGGTGTGACGAGTTCCAACGGTTATTTTCAGTTTGAAAAAAAACTAGTAGTTGGGTAGAGTAGTATAAATAGAAGTTTGGTTGGATAGATTTTTCACTTGTAATCAAACATTCTACTGAGAGCAAAAACTTTTGCGTTGAAGAATTTGTGTTGAAATGACATCAAGAGATGAAATGTTACGTCTTGATGAAGTTCATATTTCGTCGATCGAGTTGACAACGGAAAGTTTAATTTGTTTTATTTCAATTTAGTTTTGACAAAATTATAGTAGTAATAATAATTGTTTTATGTAATTGTATTAAATAATTTATTTTCAAATTGTAGCGAGCAGAACGAACCATTCGTCATTGACGAATGAAGAGCCACATCAGCGGATGGTGATATATCTTTCACAATCCGGATTATATGGAGTGACGTTTCTTCGCGGATTTAAGGTGATGTCAGCACTGATATCGGCATTGATTGAGCGTTGGAGGCCCGAAACATATACGTTTCATTTACCTTGTGGTGAAGTGACGATAACTTTTGAAGATGTCGCGTATCAACTTGGCTTTCTGATTAATGATATGTCATTGGTGCTTCGCAACACTTATAAGGAAAATAATGTTATTTCAAATTTATTGGGAAAGGAGGCTCTAACCGATGTCATTGATGCGTTGCGGGTACAAATGACGTGGTTAGAAAGAGAATTTAGAGTAGATGGACACCTAATGGAGCAAGAGGTGATATATGCATCTCGAGCATATCTTTGACGTTGATTGGGGATCTTGCTACCGGATAAATCAGGCAATTTGGTGCACACCCAATATCTTCCGGTAATGGAGGATTTCGTTGTATGTCGCCAATATAGTTGGGGGTTCTACAATTTTGGCGTTTTTGTATCGTGAACTCTGTAAGGCAACCATAGTCGTTAGAGGAAAAAAACAGATGTAGCAGGTTGTTTAGTTTTGCTCCAATCATGGGCGTGATATCGTCTCCCGTTTATGATGCCTATTACATCCACTCTTATGGAGTTTCCTCTCGCCGCAAGGTAAATTCATATATTTAAAGTTTTCATATTTTATAATATTTATTAAATATTTGAAAATGACAATAAATTTTGTAATTTTTTTAGATGGCGACACTGAATAATCGATACAAAGTTGTCGGGTGTAACCAAAGTAGATATTCAGATGAGAATTGATATTGCCGGTAGACATGCAATAAATTTTCATATTTTTTGCATTAACTTTTAAATTGTCGGGTGTAACTCTTATGGATGTTTTATTATGAGTCGGAGATCCAACGGTGTTTACTGCCAAAATTATTTGAAGGAACGGTCACATGGTGTGCCATAACACCATTGCTCCATTTCGCAATTGTTGAGATCCATGCTATCGATAGAGTTTTGCGACAATTTGGGTTTCACCAACCGATAAAAATGTCAATATATAACATTGACGATTTGCATAAAGTAGATATGTGTGGGAAGCATAGCGAAGATTGGTCAAGGAAGCATTCTACATTCATATATAATTGGCAAAATAGATATTTACGATTGCCTAATCGTTCCGAGGTACAGCCCGAAGATTTTGATTTCAATGTTTCTCCCTACCTCCAAAATTATGAAGAAAATGGGAAATCATACTTGACAACGTCAAAAAAGCGGTCCGAGTGGGAAATAATGAAGGGAAAATATGGGAAAAAATCATCATCTTCGTCAACATCTTCATCTTATGCTTCCGCCAATTATTATCCATCGCAAGAAAGTTATGGTGGATATGGTGCATATCAACAATTGATGGAGAGTCGACCGACATGGGAAGGAAGTGGGCAGGATCAAGTTTCACCTTCACAATAATTT